GCATATTTTTAATTCTTGAACTTATTAATTTAGGAATTAAATATATATATATATAAACAGATTTAACGAATTAATGGAATGATTAAAAAAATATATTTTTCATACTTTATGAATAAAAAAAAGTGCAAAAAATAATTCAAGGATTAAAAAAAAAAGTTCAAAATTAAAAATCTAAGAACTAAAAATGATATTTAACCTGATATAGCCTTTCCCTTGTATTGACTTATATTTGAGCTCACGATTAAGTCCAACGTTTAACTAACTTTTGCATGCAGGTGATTAGTGACCAGCCAATATATGAATTTCAATCCAAATTTCAACTCTGTGTCATACCCTGCAAAATAGAATTGGTCAAAACTTCCTATTCGCTTCCTAAATGTTTTTATGCATTAAATTACTATTGCTTTCCTTTATTTATTTATTTTTTTCTTTTGAAAAAAGGATCAATGTTAATGAAGAATGTAAACTTAGGTCCTAAAGGCAGGTATTAGTAAGAGTAGGATTAAGCTGCAATTGATTTTATCTAGCTTTCTACAATAAAGGAGTCTCCCGTAATCCTTTCGGGTTGTTCATGAATGAGAAGAGATATTTTCTTCCATTAATCTATCAAATTCTCCATGCACGCTAGATTCTTCCCTTTCGCCCTCAATTCTCCTCTGTTCTCCCCTAAATCTCCTGTCTCTCCTCTGATTTCCAATTCCAATCTTCACTCCGCAGTCACAAATATCTATAAATTGGCCAAAAGAAACTCTAAAATGGAATATAAAAGAGAACTTGACAAAAAGAAGTTGGACCACAATTCAACTATCAACACCCAGAAAATATCTCATATAACAATCCAAATAATAACCAAATAACTTCGCAGAAGCCATTTACCCACAAAAACAATTAATCACCATTTCTGTAGCTTCTCTTTCTTTGCAATTTCAAACATAGATTGAGAGCTGCAATTGTAGATTTCATAGCGTTCTTTGTTTCATTTCGGAGCTGATCGTTTCTGGCTTCTATTGTAGGTGCTTCAGTTTTGTATCTGACTTCCGTCTACTCCTCTTTAATTGATACATTTGTGTTTCTAAGGAATATATCTTCTATTTCTGCTTTTATTTTTCTCACGAGCAACAACATCCGCTAACAACTACGTTCACTGTACTGATTGATACACAAATAATTAGAATCATCATGCACCTGAAAGCTGTAATGAAAGACGAATGCAAATATTGACTTACCTTCACGATGAGATAATGTTAGGCCACCGGTGCAGTGAGGTCGACCATCCCACAATGAAAAATAAGATAAGAAACATGTGGTTTAAATTTGATATGAGCTGCCTTAGTTACTGTCGATTGGTTTTGAATTGAATATATATTTTGTATTAAAATCTATACAATTAATTTTAATATAGTAGTAGAGCGTCTCAATTGAGGCTTGGGCCCTTTCTTCAAGCCCCTCTTCTTCTTCTTCTGTGCGTCTGGGCTCCGTCGTCTCGGTATGGGAGCATATCAAGCTTTGCTCTAACAAGCCCAGTGGGCTTGTGTGCCTTTGAGGGCCTATGAAGTTTACGTGTTCCCTAAATAAAGTGAGAAATTCCATATTGAAAAATAAAATAAGAAACATATGACTTAAATATGATATGAGTTATTTCATTTATTATTAATTAATTTAATGATGCACCTCATGTTTTGATGAGGCCCACGAAAAAAAATCTAACTGTTGAAGATACTTGTTGGTCATCTTTAATTTTGATTTTGCATATTTACCAATTAACTATGTGCCACTAAGAAGAAAAAATGCACTCATTATGTATATTTGTCTTTCTCAGAATGTGAAAGTTTGCTGATTCTGTTTCTGACAACATAAATTTTATCTTTCAGATTTCTCCCTAACAGCTTCAAAATGCGCAAAGGAGGGAACCCCGAGCAATGAAAATTAAGGAACGATCAATGAAAACTAAATCAAGGATCAATAAATGAAGATAAAACATGTAATTAATCACAAACAATTGTTCATTTGATTCAAATTTGCATTTATTCATTCCAATTCTTTGGTAAGTTCAGCCTCTTATATTAATAGAATTAAAGTAATTAATTTGCTTTTTTTTTTTATA